TATGCCATTTAAGGACGTGCCTCGATGTATGTTGTGCTTGCGTGTATGTTTGCATAATTTTAAACCACTTATAACAAAGCATGTATAAGATCACAGTGGCAAAATCATCGGATTGAATGTGTAGACAATATATTACACTCTATTTGACCCGAAATCGCACACACACACACACACACACACACGCACACACGCACACACACACACACTCACTGACTTTTGATCGGACGTTAAACCCTGTACAACCAATCAACCTTCAGGCAACTAGAGAAGACTTCTATAATAATTACTTTTGAAACAATAACTGTCTCTACAATTTAAATCCCTGAACGCTGATTGTCTTCTTTTTTCCTCTCAGCTCTTGAGTTACCATAGCCACTTTCAATATTCAAATTGACGTTTGTCTTTTACATAACTGCCTTTTCAATTTTAGACAATCTGAAAGCTGTTATTCTTTTTAATAACATTTGAGTCACCATAGCCACTTTCAATATTCAACGGTTGTCTTTTACCTTCAAGTAAAAATAATTTGAGGTCGTTGTTATTTCGCATTTATTTTTGTTGACCATGTTTAGGCCTTCGACCTCTCTTGTGTTGATGGACCGTTAATCATGTAATAATAATGATAGTGCATTAGGCCGCTAAAATGGTAAAGAACCTGATCCCGGGGCTTCCCAATACCGGCAGCCTTCTTATTTATTTAGTTGGGGAAAACAGTATTGAATTCATATCCTTATTGACAAATATAAGATTCCATCACTCCTAAAAATATGAGGCCTGTCCTTAAATGACCATCTCTGTTAATAGGACGTTACACCAAATAAACCCATATATTGACATATTGTAGATCCTTAGAACAGCTGTACATTGGTCTTTCAACCAAGTCGAAAAACTGCACTAACTATATATGGAGCAGTGGTAAAGCATTGGAATGGAGTCAATGGGACTTGTCAACAAATGAACCTAATCATTGTGAGCTTGAGCAATGTGTCAGCCTTTACATGGGATCGTTCAGCACAACAACCTGTGAATTAAGTTTGAAAGCAATCTGTGAATACGGTATGTACAAGAGAGATTTATTAGTAAATCATGAATTGAAGATCATACATTGCTGTGTTTCATGATATAGAATACCTATCCAAAAACCAGTTCTATGGATGAACTAATTAAACGAGCACTCAATATGGCATGTTCATACACACTTCACTGATGTATCATTCTTATTTCACCAACAATACCCTACGTTCGATTTGCTTACTTTTGTTTTAAGACGTTGAAGCTGTAAGTATCATACTAAAGCTTTTCCTTCATAACAACTCTGTTGCAGTATACTGTATATCATATTTATATGGGCCTCTTGTGGTGTCGGAGTACGCGGAAACGAATTGGTGCACTTTAACCTGCAACTGAGTGTGTAAACACTTGCTAAAAATGATATTGCGAGTTTCATCAAATGTAAATGGCAACCAGAAGTGTCAAATGATACCAATGAACTTCTTTCAAATTGATACAATTATGAATTAAAGGGTTATGTCGTTCGCTCACGTCTTCGCATAGTACACAAACTCATGCGTACAAACATGAGCGAGAGGTTTATCCTTTTTGTCTCTCGTGTAACGACCGTGCCACCAAAATTTTCAAATAAATCAAATATAAACAGATTCGAGGCAAATATTATAATGCACCCGATATAAAAACATTTTTCTGTACAATTGATTTGAACTTATTGGTTTTACTATCTAAAAATTGCATCCCGTGTACAAATAGGTTTGTTAACATGTATGGTTAAAACTTCGCTGTTGTCAATATTAACATTTCAGTGACCCAAGAATCATCGTCGTCGATGACGACAACGACAAACACGATGACTTCGGCAGTGACCCCAGAATCATCATCGCCGACAACTTCGATGAAGACAAACACGATGACTTCAGCAGTGACCCCAGAATCATCATCGCCGACAACTTCGATGACGACAAACACGATGACTTCGGCAGTGACCCCAGAATCATCATCCCAGACAACTTCGATGACGACAAACACGATGACTTCGGCAGTGACCCCAGAATCATCATCGCCGTCAAACACGATGACTTCGGTAGTGACCCCAGAATCATCATCGCCGACAAGCACGATGACTTCGGCAGTGACCCCAAAATCATCATCGCCGACAACTACGATGACGACAAACCCGACGACTTCAGCAGTGACCCCAGAATCATCATCGCCGACAACTTCGATGACGACAAACACGATGACTTCGGCAGTGACCCCAAAATCATCATCCCAGACAACTTCGATGACGACAACGACAAACACGATGACTTCGGCAGTGACCCCAGAATCATCATCGTCGATGACGACAACGACAAATACGATGACTTCGGCAGTGACCCCAGAATCATCATCGTCGATGGCGACACCGACAAATACGATGACTTATGCAATGACGACATTAGACGTGAAAATATCGATTGCAATGTCGACGTCCGTTCCCACAAGTCACCTCGTCACTGCCAACCTATCCTGCGATTGTTGTACAAGGCGACATACAAATGTCACCAAGCCAAATCAGACCGAACTACTACAAGTCATCACACAGTTGAAGGCGGAGTTGTCCGTGAATAAGAACAACACCTCGTCCTATCGGCGTAAAAGGATCAGTGTGTACGAGGCGAGGCACTCCAGTATGGTCATGGGGGGCGTGGCATGTGTCATCATGTCAATTATGATTGGCTGGATTGTCGTGCCCGACACTATCACGCTGTGTGTGTTCCTTTTCAAATGTGTCAACAAACCAAACGTCATCACACCTAGAGTCTGAAGTCTTGTTTCATACATGTAATATTGATTTGTTGGAAACAAGTTTATCCTGTTGAACGGTGATGTTACCTCACGCTTCAGTGTTTCCACTCGTTAATTATTTACGTATGATTGATGTCAACCTATACTAAAATTGACTGTTCAGATATTCATCTAGACGATGGATCGTGTGTTGGATTTTTCATGTACTGGCTGTAGACCTAGCTTTACATTTGATAAGTTTTGAATCACTGTCGTGGCATCATACTTCACAAAATTCCAGGTTCAGCAAATACTGAGAGACCGTGTGAATAAGACGATATTGGCAGAATGAATGTAGATTACGGCCAGGGTACGGTACACAACCTAATGGACAACAACTGCTTGTAGGGTTGGCAAGATTTCAAGACATTGCATAAGTTTTTCAGTTAAATGGATATGTATACATAATTGGACTGTAGATCCCAGGTATTGCGCGATAAAGCAGGGCAGAATTGGAACACTATACGAAACTTCAGGTCCCACCATTTGCCGAGACCTCTTGTGGATCCGAGTGCTCACGAGAATCAGTCTGATGCACTCCTGTTAAAAATATAATAGTAAACAAATTCGTTTAGTTGAAGTCTATTGTGACCGAATAAGTTGTGCGTATATATGTACGGGTGACATTCACGGTGGAAACCAGTCTGAGACATATCAACGTGTACGTTTTTTATAAAGAATTTCTTTTAAATAGACACACTAGTAAGGCAGGTTTTGCACGGGCACTATTTAGTTTATCACGAGATTGTTACGAGACTATCATTTTGTGTAATTATGCACTGATCAAATTCACGATCAACCTCAGCCTCCAAATTGGTTATGTTTACACTTGTGTATGTATATACGAAATTTCTTTGAAATATACCAATAACCAAGGAAGCACAAACTAAAATATCGGCACTTTCTTAGATATCACAGCTGGAAGAGATAATCACTGGGGAACATCGCAAATTCAGAAAGCAAATAATATTATGACTTTTAATTTCGTTTGTAATCTCGATTGAAAGTGTTTTGATTTGCGCTGCCAGCTTTAACTATAGGCTGAATGCTGTATAGCGCGCAAATACTTGCCGCCGTTTTATCTTTACCCATACCGTTCTCCATAACGTGGTTGAATTTATCCTGGCGGCGAATATTGGTACACAACTGAATACATAATCAACATCGAGATAGAATTTTACGATGAACGGCAAATATTTCACTGGGTGTCAGTTTTCCAATATACGGTATTCTAAAGCATGTTGTCCCATTTATTTGTACATGTAATTATGGCCAACTTGCGTGTATAAAGATCAAATTTCACATACAAACTGGTTTTGCTTACCGCCTTGAGCTAACAAATTGTATTCTGATATCATTTTCCTCTTTATATTTGTAAGGTTCCATTAAGTATAATGCAAATAAACTATCGCTTTTTGCAGAGAAATACAATGTTATTTCAAAATGTTTAGATTCTAATTAAATATTCTGCACTGTAATAGTCTTCAATTGTAGGATATTACATAAGCGCTATTAATTTAAATTTGAGCGAGATTGAATTGTAAATAAGACATGCAGCAGGTGACCAATTAGGACAGAAAATGGACCGTAGGTTTTGCCTTAACCAACATACTGCTATAGGTGTTAGACAAGGACCCATACTAGGTCCTCTTTTATTTTTTTATCACATAAACGGAATGCAGAACACGCAGATATTTCCACTTGTGCAAGGCTTTTCTATTCATACATATCTTATAGGTTCGACCTGAACAAGGGTTCGTTTCGATGCCTGGTGAATGATTAAATGCAAAGCTACAACCTATATGGTTTTTAAAATGCTGAACAATGTTATTTCACATTTCCGCGACTGGGAAAGGTACCATAACGCATCATAACGATAGGACGCAAAAGTGTTCATATGTAATTTTTATTATAAATATTTTGATTCGGGTATAAATAATATATACATCTTTGGTTTAAATGATAAAATTATGTGGTTTTCACTACAACCTTTAATACGGCTACCGAGAGAAGGACTGAAACAACGATCAGACAAACAGAAATGAACTGTCGCTTTAAACCTAATGTGAAGTACATCCGGTTTTCCAATGGAAGTAAGGTTCCGACATCAAAGCAGAGAATAATTCCCAGTCCATTACAACATTAAGCCAACTTCTTAAAAACACGAATTTTATATTATTTGGCAATCTAGACTTAACTCAAAATTAAATGGCATCTATTTTCTGTGTGAATTGGAATTGACATATACATTGTACATGTTCATATTGCAAACAAGTACTGCTTAATTGTTGTTGATTTAAAAAAAAAAAAGTTTAATCGTCGAATCAGGTTTTGAAACCCACTAATGATGTGATTAATATAAAATAATAACATGTGTTGTACATTGATTAGCTAACCATGTCCTTTCAATCTATAGTCAGAACTATTCCCCTTCGGTGTTGGGACCTGGCCTGATGAACTATTTCCGTCTTGATTCCAGCACCTCGAGGAAATAGTTTTGACTGTCGACTGATAAGATATGAAATAACTGCATATCGTGATTATGTCTTACTTATATTTTTTCGGGTGGAAGGGGGATTTATCTGGGGGGATTATTTAACATGCAGTTACACAGAAAGTTAGATAACATGAAAATGATTTTACACATATGCATCACCATTATTTACAACTTTCAAACAGACATACATTTCTCCTCAAATATCCAGAAATATTTGATCCAGAAACAAAATGATCGTGTTGTCATGGAAACCATCTTTCAAAGAAAATAACTTAGTAATGTAGTATGATGGTATAAACACAATTCCTTATTGTTGAGAACATAATGCTTATTCACAGTTCTGGGGGTTTTTTCAAGTCAGTTTCTTCAAAAATAAGCACAAGTAATATTTCTGGGAATCGTCTTGAGATTTCATCCAAACACTCCAGGTCTGTTCAGGTACAGTGCTAAAGTGACGAGTAGGGACAGGACCAGGATTCCGGCTGACCCTGAAAAACACAAACAATGATCGATATCAATACAAATACTTATCAACCCTTCGCAACAAAGTTGTTTAAGGCATTCCTGCGTGAATTTGTATCAAACGTCATATATTGGTCATGCATGAATGAGAATAACTCAAACGAGAGTGTGCTTCAGCAGTCCATGATCAAGGTCAAGGTCACTCTAACTAGTTGTAGATGTTTTGGTCATTGTTCTAGTGGCTTCATCCATGCATGGATTTTATTCAAACTTCATACATTGGTCGTGCATGAGAAATATTAAACAAACAATCTTTGTGATCGCTTTAGCGAATTAACTCCTGCATGGATCTTGATAAAAAATAATATAACACATCTGAGCCGCTACTACGTTCCTTGTCATCCACTGATAATTACAAGGACCGAGTCCTAACAAAATACCGGGGGAGTAACAATGATACTGTAGAAGTATATAGCCCCCTCCCTGCCCCCGCCTCCTCTCCTCCAAAGTTTGCTTCAGAGAAATATTATATACTAGAAGATACCTCGTGTAATATATGACATTTCATATCTTTTATCATGTTTATCTTTTATAGCATATCCTTGTAAGATATTTCATCAAGTATATATTTAGTATACATGTACTATCTTTCATTTAATCTTGAGAGATTATCGTATTCAAAACATATAAGATACCATAAAAACAAGTACGGTGCTACGACCGCGCCTAACTCCCATCATGTAAGGAATATAAATCGTCGTCCATACCACTGCATGACACAAAACATCGGCAAAATAGTCTTTTGTGTATAATATAAAAGCAATCTAAAATTGAAAAGAGAGAAGAAAAAAAACCCATTTCATTGCAATTGAGAATTGAATTTCAATTGCAGCCGTACTGTGCTCTATCTACACGAAACAGATCCGGGTAGATAATATCTACAGGTGATCAGCTAACAAGTGGATATTTAATTCTAGTATTAACACAGCATTAACATGAACTCATCACTCACCGCTAAACAGTGTTCCGATTATATATAAACTGGCAGGGTCGATACCATCATATTTACTCTATGTATTGTATGCATTTTAATAGTACACAAGGACGCGTGTATATTATATTTTTAATTCGATACTTCAATTTAATTGCAACACCTATTTACAATAATGTCGTACAGAGCCAAACTGTAGATAAAAAATGGGTAAAAGTATAGATGTGCCAAGCCAAAATCAAGTTGTATATAATTTGGAAAGAGATGAGATTAAGACCAGTTAGGATCAATGTTTGTTTCTGCCTCGTTTTAGTCGCCTTAGGCGATCATGCAGCGGGATACTGAAGGTCAATTCCGTCAAACCATGGAATTCCATGTATCGTCTGTTCAGTTTTGGTCTTTCCGTTTGTTTAATTATCTAGTTGAGATCATTTATTGTTTGTCCATATGTTAAGGCATCTTATATATAAACTAACCACAGACAAATATTGCTGCCCTACAGAAACGTTGCTTGAACTTACCATGTGTTCCGGTGGCGCCGTCACAGCCATCCATACCGGAGGCAGACACAGGTATGGGTCCTACAATGAGAGATAAGTTTTTACAATAGAATATTTTGATCCAGCGGAAACGAAAAGTTTAATTATGAGTATTGAAAATGTGCTCTCTTTGACGCATTTATATTGTACTTATGTTTACTTTTCTTGTTCAGCAGAATGGAAATATCTGACAACGAAAACAGATTCCTCGGACACGATTTTTCCATACACTTATTTCGTTACGCCGGCAATAAGATAAAAAAAAATGTTACGTTTTTGGAATTAAGTGTTACCGGTCATTTCGAGCCATATTTATATTCTGATTTAATTGATAATTTCTATGGCACATTCGATCGTTCCTTCAATATCAGTTTCTTTCAGAAGCTATCAATCTAACCCTTGTCTTAAAATTGGTTGACACGTCTTCTGTTGACACTATACGAAAAACACAATCGGATCGATGTTCAAATATACTCGATTTAGAATGAATCCTACCTGATGTCTATAACGTACACTACAAAGGATGCATGCGAATTATATTTACCTTGAAACATGTTGATAATAATCAATGTTGTAAACAAGAAAATAGTCCACGAATACATCGTCCCAAAGTATCCACCTGCAATCCGGTGGTAATCTAACCCTGGATGGTCTCCCCGATGTTTAACTCGCACAAAAAATCTTCTCTGTCAGGTAAGATATCTGGTGACTTAATTAACAGGTACTATTCGTAAGAATGTTGACACAGGTAGAATCACAGGTATGCGTCATTCTCTCCCTGTCGGGTTGATAACGGCGTGTGATTTATGACTTTAAAAAACGCTAGTGATAATTTATTTCTTGTAGATAATTATCGAGACTTGCATATCACCAAAAGTCGCAGGCATTTAAACGGCATTAGTTTACGTCTCGTTACATCAGCTAATGGCGAGATAGTCTGTATGGAAGCACACTCTCGCCAACAGAAATCTACGTCTTGGTATTCTCATCTACCGGGAGTTGAAACCTTTGTAACAGTATAATGTTGCAGACGATTGGTGCAATCTTACAACTTGAAGGTTGCCGCTCTCGAAACAAAGAAAATATTCGTGCATCGACAGCTGAACCATTGGATGCCGAAGATGATTGGGCCGGAAATGACGTCTTGAGGGGGTGTTTCCAACTTTCCTGGGAGTTGGGTGGGTATGTTGAAGATGGAATAGGCGGTGAAAATGCGTGTTTTAAAAGAAAATCCTGCATGGCGGGAACAGGGAAGGGGGCATAAAGTTTTAAAAAAACTTACTAGTGCCGCCTTTTTCTGTCTTTCTAAAAATTCAAAGTTCTACCCCTTCCTTTCACCTTTCACTCCTGCCCTTATAATGTGGTTTATGACATTTGGCAGACACCTCGGCAATACCAGTTACAGAAAATGTCGTAAAATAACAGACAATTTATTTATTTTACCATATCTTAAATCTGGTATTCCCAAGGGGTCTGACTTAAATCTTTGGTTATTCCAACAAACGATGCATTGTTTTTTTCCACTATTGTATTGGTCTAAAGTCTGAATTTATAAATTTTGATCAATAACTCATTTATTAATTCAAGAACATTGAATACTATTTGACTTAAGTCTTTGGTGTGACATCTACCAACCTCACCACAGCTTATGCAACGTACTTATATACAAGTGGATAAATTCATGACCACCCTCCTACCAATAACATGGAGTACATGTTAGATCCAGGCGAAATAGCTACCCTCGCTCCCACTCCCTCACCGTCGCAGATCTAACCGACCATCATCAGAAGTTGGTACTTAAGGAGAGGAGCGTGACAGGTCGCGATCAGGTGTTTTTGTCAAATTATTGACAATTTACTAATTTTAATTTGTTTCACCCTTTACAAAATAAGCTAGTATTTCTCGAACAGAGGTGGCGATCACTTGTAGAATTGTATACAAGTAATGAAGACGATAAAAAAACCTGTCAAAATAATTAAAACAACCCATCAAATTAATACGTGAAGCGGAAGAAAATAAAAGTGAACGGCGCCGATGAAAAATGAAGGTTTCCGTCAGACGACAGCCATTATATATGTTGATAGGTGTACTCGAGGATGTTAAAGACACGCGGTCACGCGAGGTGAACTGCTTTCAAGTGAATACCCATCTTCGTAGCCTGAGTTTCCTCTGGCCCTGACACCAGACTTAGACATTTTGGCAGATAGATATCTGGTGTGGGGGCCCCATACCAGTCTGGTGTCAGGGCTAGAGGAAATTCGGGCTACCATTTTCGCTAACCAAGACTTACGGATTTAGTAATAGTTTTACATCTCCCATCACCCCAGTCTGTATAGAAAATGTGTGTATTGGTCACAGGGACATGAGAATCAATTGAAGAATGAGACTGGATCACAGGAGCAGTAGGGACCCGTACTACTCACAGGGACACGAAACTTAATTTATGTAGAGAATGTTTTTTCTAAATGTCAAATAAATGTATACACCATAATTGGTGGGTTGCATTTGAGTCAAAATATTGAAGTAATCCCCTAAAACGTCATAATACCTTCTACTCATCAAGAGAGGCCCAAAAACACATAGTAACATTTAGCAGAAGGAAGACCAATCTTATTGTCATGCATGTGATCAACCATTTACAGTCAAAACACTTTATGATTGAATGCGCTGATTTCAAACAAATATGTGACAAATTTTACAATGTACCCTCTATGAAACGTTTATTTGACACAGTTTCTGTGCAATCAATCTATGATTATTTACATTCAACTGATCTTTAAAATAAGATATGATATATTTCATAAACAATTCGTTTGCTATTGATATATTTTGACATCTTTTACACATTTTAACCTTTTGTTTCTGGTTTTCATGTATTCATTTTTGTGTGAATGTCTATTTTTTACATTGTTGTTTGACCCTAAATGAACAATACATTTACAATTACAATTTCAAATAGTGATTGTCCCTGTGATATCGCTATCAGATTGTCGTAACCACGGGAAACGTTTCAATATCTAAGTGGCTTCAAGTCGATCCCACTATAGTAGAGGTCCAGTGACCACTTTTCCCGGACCAAGGTTTGAAAATTGATTTTAGCCAATTTGAGGGTGCTGATTAAAATGAGCTGGTGTGAACCTCGTGAAAATGTGGGCTGACTCGGCCAAACGCGGCGAAAATTCAAAATGGCCGCCACCCGTCGTCTCGTATATCAAAAAATACATATCTTTGCTTCTAGATGTCCGTTTTATATGATTTTTGGATTTAAATATATGTTTGAAGGGTCAGGAATTTATATTGTATTACATCCGCTGTGGATATGTAATGAAATTAAGGTTTTAGCTAAGGTTGCAGCTAATGATATTGTCTTTCAGTTTGATAGCAAGTGTGCCCTCAAGCTGATGTACAACATATGCAGTTCACCAAGCTTCCAAAGAACCACACATAAAATGACTATTGTGTACTCCGTCAGGCAAAGTTGATTGAACACCTCCTCTGGTGAAAGTATTGAAGAATTCGAATGCAGACACAATTCTGTTCTTCAACTATATTCGCAAATCCGAAAAGCAGGAGAAATGGAGACAATGGTGATTAATGCCGAGGATATAGATGTTGTTATTTTTCTACATATCTTGTACATCAGCTTGAGGGCACACTTGCACATTAGCTGCAGAGGTCCATTACATATCCACAGTGGTTGTGATGAAATATCTGGCTTCTATGGACATGGAAAACAGAAACTCAGTTGGCACGATATCTTTTGAAATATATTGCAAAGCATTTCCAGTGACACAAGAGGTTCTTCAGCAAATGTCCACATTCACTGTTCGACACATTTACAATGATAAAATTAGTAAGCCTTTAGGTAAACCAGAGCACTGAAGAGGGATCAGTTGAAAAAGAAGTTCAAGTGCCGCATCCCACCACATGTAATGACTCTGGATAAAGAGGAAGATTGTGACTGAAAGCCTACTATGTCATGTTTCATTGACCAGACAACCTGTGCAGTTTGGAAAAAGAATAAGTCTGCTGAATCCCACTGCATGGCCATAAGCAGCGACTAATGTGGGAGCCCCTGCATAATTGGGGGGTTTCATCCGAGTCTTCTACGAAGGGGATATGGAACAGACAAAAATTGATCTGCTTCTCCCATTACAACACTTAAGATCTTTTTCGTTTACTTCCTTTCCCTGCTTCTTTCTATCTAAAAACTAGCTGTTTGTGGCGGCGACTACCTGGACACCCGCCTTCATGTTAATCATTGTGGATTCGCTTTTGTGCCCTCTATTTTGGGACATAAAAGCGACCAAAATCAATCTGCGGCACCCATTGCAATATTTGGGATTTGTATTATATTTCTTTTTACTTCTAACTACCCTTTATTTCCTTGCGCCTTGCTTGGCAACCCCTCACTTTTGGCTTTAACGTTGAACGTTCGCCCATGTGAGGAAGGCAATGGGTTCTGTCCCAAGGCCGGGACATACCAAAGCCCTTAAAAAGGTAGTTGTTATTCCCTGCTTAGCGTTCAGCATTTAGGGAAATGGCAACAACTGGTTCACCGGTTGTCGCCTCAGATCCGCACTATCACAAGGAGGCAAGTACACCGACATGCCCTGTATTTTGACACATACACAGATACACGCTTACACAACACATATGGAGGCACGCCCTTAAATGACCTTAGCTGTTAATAGGACGTTAAACAAATTAACATCAAACCAATCATATGATTCTGGCTGTTTCAATGACGTTAAACCCGAAATAAACAAAATCATTTACCAGACATTTCATACAATAGTTCTTTTATGCAATTTACATTGGTCAAAGACGAAACCGTTGCATCCAAACCATTTAGGGTGTCTTCCTGGTCTTCTACGTAGTCATACCGCTCTGCATATTGTTCTCCTACAGCTCCTTAAAAATGTGTGGTTCGACACTAACTGTTAAATCTATTTGACAGTGAGCCCCAATGTACGGATGTTGTGGCAACACACTTTTTTAATGTAAATGGAATAGTAACATAACGAAGTCCTCTGTTGTCGCCTTGCTTTTTCCTATATGAACTATAATACATTACCAATACCATAAATAAAGGTCAAAGTACACAGAACGCCACAACAGGAATATGGAACGGACTTTACAGCGTGGGTAAGAGTATTTATTACATCAATATCTCCGAATGGTATATATAAAGGTTAGATCACTGTAAAGCTTACTTAGAAAGTCACCATAGCAAAGGAGTATGGAGGGAGTCATGCTGAAAATCCCAGGGCTCAACAGATGTAACAAATTAACCCATCTCACTACCAGACGGTCCGAGATCAGTTTTCTCTACAGGACCGAGAATAAGTATATATTATACTGTTCATATGTCATGAAGAATGAAACTATATAAAGGGAAAACAGCCAAAAGAGAAGCAAGATAATAAGAATAGCGGGTATGATCGGAAGTAAAGACGACGAAAACCCACAACAAGATGGTGGAATCGATGAGGTCAAGGTCAATGATCGACTGCAGCGAGCAGGAATCAACCGGAAGTCAGAAACAAATCGGAAGCAGAAGAAAATAAACAGAAAAATCAAGAATCATGTCATGTCACGTCAGAATTCCATAGGAATGACACACCAAGCAATGTGTCACTGGATGAGAGATCAGGAAGTAGAAAGTAATGGGAGTAGAGGAGAGATAAATTAGGATACAAAGTGGATCCACAGGTACAAATGGGACACACTTGTGGTATCCCTACCTAACATAGACATAAACAGTTTGTCAATGCGATGGTTTTGACTATTTGCTCTACGATGTAAACTACGATGTACTGTAGTTAGAATACCCCAACTGTCTCT